CCCAAACACCATCGCAGGCAGGCGATGCCAGCGCTAATGAGGACTCTCCAGCCTCCGTCTTGACTCCAGGCTGGTCATTACGCCCCTAAGCCGGATGCGGGTGGGCAGGGACGCGTGGTGTCGGCGCAGCGTCGCTGGGAAGCACGTGCCTTCGTGCCAGCTGCCTCCCACGTGCGGCGTGGACAAACACGTGGGCGTAGAGCGCTCTGCGGCAGAAACCACGAGGCACTGATTTCATGTTTGTTTTTCAATCCTCCCGTGCCCCTTTCGCCTTAGTGGAGATTGAGAAACCCTCTTCTGATGGCGGGTGCTGCTTGCAGAAGCGATGAGCAACCCTGGAATAAGGATTTGGTTCCTGTAGGGATGAGACTCATGATAAATAGAGACACGCTTTCTAATTTGGGGTTTTGTGGTAGGGGTGGGTGCTGTAAGATAAACCAGCTGCCAGGACTTGTCACCCCAGTGCTCACCTCCGCCACGGCAGTTGCTGGTTAGGAAGATTGAATGGCCAGAAATGCCAAAATCCTCAGCTTTGTATCTGTAGAGCAAATGGCTGCAAACCTTGTCCGTGCAGCCTTCCCTGCACAGGGCCTATGCCAGCTCGGTGCTGACACCGCTCTGCTGCAGCGTCTTTCTCCTTTCAGATCACCATCCGAGCTGTGACCCACTTTGGTCCTGCTTTGAAGGAGACGGAAAGCAGCGGGGACGCAGCAGGGACAGATGCAGTTACGTCAGTGGGAGTTTTCTGCAGGCTGCGGTGTGGATGGTATGCCCTGATCCCTGCCCTCAGTTCGGCACAGCTTTGGGGGAAACACCTAAAACCCACCATCTGCCCGAGGGATGCAGAAACACTGCTGTTGGGCATCACATCAGCCGCAGCCATGTCTTCTCACAGAGCTGTTGAAATAACCAGCCCCACTGAAATTATAAACTGCCATTTCAGCCAGTTTAATGTTTAATGTTCTTTCAGGTGCTTTTAACTAGAGGTTTACAAAACCTTCTGCCAAGTCCTTCCCACGAGTGGGGAAGGACTTGTTTATAAAAGGATATGAAGGACATGAAAAAGTAAAGGAGGAACTCCGGAAGAGGAAATTCTGCAAAGGAATACATTACCTTGATAGGTTTCAGCACCAAAACACCAAAGAAGAAACCCACCCCCCTCCTTCCTCCCAGACTTTGTCTGGCTCGTATGCCACACAGATACTTTCAGTTTTTCTTATGAACAGGTAAAGGTATCGTTCTTACCATGTCTCCACAGCGGGAAACCTTTGTTCCAGTCCGCAGGGCACTGGTGATGCAGCAGCTGAGTGTACGGTTTTTTCTTCTCTCCTAGCTGACCGCATTGCAGTGCTGCTGAGTTTGCAAGGTATCAGGATTGCTCCACACTCCTTGCACAGCTAGAACCTGCTTACCTCTTTTCCCAGGCAACTGACAGGGGAGGGAAGTGAGTATTCGAGCAACCAGGATGCAATAAACAATAGTTTTGCTCCTGATGCAATTCTTGCTACTGAAAGAAATACACAAAGTTTCGGCTAGCTCCACGGATTCCAGGCTAACTGAAGCCGGCTGGTGGCTTCTTCCTTTCACGTACTTGTAATGTCCTCAAAAAAAGCAGCAGGGCTGACGCATCAGTGCCCTGTTTGCCTGTTGCCACCTTACTCGAGTGACAGTAGCAGAAAGAGCTGTGAAAGCCCATCGGTAGCAGGGAGGGAGACCTGCCCTAGGGCCGATGGCCGTAGCGGCTCTCGGGGCTGTGTGCAGGGTCGAAGCTGGGCTGCGGTTCTGCCCATTCTTGGTGTGGTTTTATAAAGGGGTTGATTCAGCAAAGCAGGAGGAGACCCTGCTGTTGGGAGGGCTGTGAAGGAGGACTGCCTACACCGCAAGCTGTCCTTTACAGCCGTAGCCGCGCTCCGTGCTGTAGAAGTCAGTATGTGCCGACTAACAAGCTGAATGATTTCACTTTCTCTGCTGAAGTCTGACTTACACCATCTCTTGCAACAACAAATTTCAGACTTCGGCTAGGTCTGCACAAAGGGAACCCAAACCTTGATTTCAACAGCCATGCCAACCAGATAAAAAAACAAAGTGTGGTAACAGAGGAAGGAATGAGTTCTTTGGTAATTCCCTAGAGAGCACAAATGCGGTGAGACTGTGGGCTGGACTTGGTGCTGAACGTGAAATGGCCAGAGAGCGAAGCGGCAGGGTAGGGTGGTCACGCTTTTCATCAGGGCTAGCTCCATGCCCAAAAATGAGTTACAGGGATCAAACTTGCATCTGCCGCCAGCAGAAAGGAGCGCCTTGGGGCCAAGTACTGGTGGTTTCAGAGTTCAGTCACACCCTGAGCACCAAGGAGAAATGCAGCAGAGGCTGTTCTCCCCCCCTGCATCAGCAGTACTCTCCTTCTAAGCTTCCCTTCGCCTCACGGCTGCTCCCCTGCAGCCTTTGCCTGTTGCAAAGTGTGGTTTAGCTGCTGCCCATGTACTGCGAGCCCAGCGGCTCGTCCGCTCCGCCAGCTGGATTTTTTGGTTGACTTTTCTAGGAAGTGACAAGTTAGGTCTCTTTGGGTACTTACATTCCTCCTTTACTTTTTCATGTCCTTTGTATCCTTTTATAGGCAAACCTTGCAGGGAATGCTAAAGGATCAGAAGAATAGGACTCAGTAAATCCGAAACTGAGTCTGCTGGCAATCCTGTAGCACGAGGACTCAACTTTCTGACCCCGCACCAAGGCTGCTTGTGTGGAAACCATCCCTATCACAAGTATTCACAAAAAAACAAACCCAAAGCACGGATTAATTCCTGGAGATGCTGCTGACACTGCTGCCTTTATCATAGAAAGAAAGGTGGCATTCAGTGGAACTGGGCCATTGCTTTCTGTATGCAGTACAGTAACAGGGCATCAGTCTGTTTACTGTGATCTGCTTTATCTCCCACTATAGCCACTGATCTTCAGAAGTCCGATTTCATGCTGTATCTGAAGCACGGATAGCTTGGCCTCACTGCTCTCTGCCTGACAAGAGGACGAAATAAAATAGCAACCAAGCATTTACCCGTCCCAGGACATTCAGCTCTCTCCTGGCTCACCTCGGACGCGGCTGTTTTTGCAGGCTGACCACCACATGTGATCACAGACACATCCAACGAGCTGCAAAGGTCAGTCCAGTGCACACAGCCCCGTCTGGGAATGATGTGGGACCTGCCGGGTTGCCTTCGGGACATCGGCTGGCTGTCAGCCTGCAGAGTGCCTGGTCAGGGCACCCCCAGCCTCGGGCACAGCAAGACACCTTCCAGCCCCCTTCCAAAACATGGCCACCGGCCCTAGAGCCATGGCTGGAGGCTCCTGGAGCATCTGCACCGCTTGGGAAGCAATAGGGGCCACTGTACCCTGCACCCCCAAAAACAAGCCTTCTCGGAGGTAACTTGCTGCATTTATCCCTAACCCTGGCTGCTGAGAGAGCCCAGCTGGTGTTTTGGTTACAGGCAGCTCTAAGTTACACAACCTTGCCCACAACTTCTTTTTAAAGAAAAGAGACTTTGAGACGTCTTAATTACAAAATAACATTTAAAAGTCATCAGGGTTTATTATCTCGTCACACAGAGTAATGATTCACTTAACATGTTGTAACCAGAAGGTTAACAGTAGGCTGAGCCATTCCCTTCCCCTCTGTATTGTACAGTGCCACGAGTATGGTGTTGCAGTGGAATACAAAACTTGCAGTATGTGGAAGGACGTTGCAGTTAAAAAGTGGATTTTTACCCAAGTGACCTGGAAAGCATTTCCAAGCATCCTGCCGTTTCAGGCTGCTCTGCTCTGACATCATTCCTCTGCTCGTACCTGCCCTTTTCAGTGGCAGAACTGAGATTTCCAGGCTGTGCTCCCGTGCCCACGGAGGACACCACGGACTGGCTCTTCAAGACAGAGGAACAACAGCGTGACACGACATCCACGTGCGCTGGCTGGGCTGCCAGCGTGGTCCCTTTCTGCAGCACTTCAGTGTAGCTTCTTGAGCGCACTAACACCAAACCAAACCCCATGACGACACACAAGTTTTTATGGTGAGGAAGCTGAAGCTGAAAATACATGTGGTGACTTCTGACAAATGTTCCGGCTGTTTAAAGAACCGCTGTGGCTGCAGGAGGCACCTACAGATTGGCCTGGTTTGGTGAACTTTGTACAGTGATTTTCTTCCTGCTGATGGGAAGGATGCAGATTCCCACAGAGACCTCTACAGCGTAGGTACCTCAGGTGGTTCTGCTTTTCCAAAGCCTGGAACAAACAAACAATTCAGTTTGCTGCTTCAGACCTCTCTCAATTTGTCCACTGCCAAGTTATTTGTTGGGGCTGGGCTTCTGGGTTGGGTTTTTTTTTTTTGTGTGGTTTTGTTTTGTTTAACTCAGGGCTTATTGCTATTCCATTTTCAATAGTGCGTAGCAGAAGGAGCTGAGATTTCACAGAATTAAAACTCTTTGGAACCTCAACAACAGGCTGTGTGTTGTGGTGGATGTGCTTTCACAATCCCTTTCTTTCCAGTTTTTCCAGTATGGCCTGAATTCTGTGGACGGACTCTTTCCTGGCCTGCCGAACACTGTCCTGGCCACCAGTCTCGATGGAATCCAGTTCCAACAGCAGCTTGGTCAACATCTCCTCCAGAAGCCGGTAGGATTTATCTGTCTTTTTTCCTACAAATTCGTCAACCTCTTGCTCCAGCTGTTCAGCCTCCCCCATAACGTGGAGGATTCTCTGAATCTCTGGTTGGGTGGCTGTAGAATTTGTTGAAGGCTGGTCACCAGGTTTAAAGCCAGCCTCCCGGTTCCCAGCCAAAAGCTTCCGAGGTGCACTGTCATACATCTGGGGCTGTGCGCTGTACTGCACCTTGGGGTGTGAGGGGGATGGCTTGGCGTTGAGCGGAGTGGCTGGTTTGTGGTCATTCATTGTCCCAGAGTGCTGGTGATTGACATCGGAATAGTAGTTGTGTTGGTTTGCACTTTGCTCAGGTTTGTCATAAGCAGTATCCTGCAGTCAGAAGGAGAAAAAAACCCCTATAAGTCTATTTCCCTTAAAGCCAGGCTTTTAGTCTCTCATCTTGCACTCAAAAGGCAGGCAGGCAGGGCTGAGGGACCTGGGCGACAGGTGACACCGTGACTGCTTTGAGGTGTGCATGCCTGGGAGGACAAGGCAGACTGGGTAAGGCATGACGTTACCAGGGATCTGGGCAGCATTTTCTAGACTGTCACACACCGTGACGTCATGACACATCACGTCCCCGCGGGCTGGCACCCCGTGTCCTGCCAGGCGGGCTGGTTTCTGTGAGAAGTCCCAAAAAGGGACACAGGACCCACGCTCAGTCCCTGGCTGTTAAAGAACAGACCCCCGGCAAGAGGCACGTGTCTGGAGGAAACAGCGTGAGCCACTGACCACTCGTTACCCGTGAACAGGGGAGATGCTAAGTAGATTTCAGCATTTATTCTCTGGATATACCAGAGTTCTCTGCAGGTAGCGCACTTTTGAGCTGTTCCAAGTAACAGCAGCCCCATCCCCAAATCCCCCCGTGGGGGCGGCTGCTGCTGCTCATGCCAGCACTGCTGCCTGGGGACCAAACCTCTGGAGCGTCATTCGACTCCTGATCAAACCCAGAGAAAGCTGAGATGAGCGGACCCCACCAAAAGCATAATTTCCTTCCATTTTTCGCTTAAACCATTCCTCAGTAGAGGATGACTGTGCCCAAAACATATACTAGAATCTGCTATACCAGAGTCTGCAAACTGACCTGCAGGTTAGTCCCACACTCTGTGCTGGAGGATTTCGGACAGTGTTGGCTGCTTGAGAGAGAGGACTTGGACAAGTGAGACGAGGTCTGACCCATTTAAAGACCTGTGCTGGGGCGTCTGGTATCTCCAGTACCCTTCTGGAATAGACAGCTGTGGAGTTTGGTCTTCTGTATGCAAATAGGAGATTTTGCTGGCAGTACTCTGGATACCTGCTGCTTTGTTTCTACCTAAGCTAGCTGTGCTCGGAGAAAGGAGCATTCCCAGGAGATGGAGGCAGGTTTTGAGGAAAGCCATATAATCTAGGAGGTCTAACTGCAGCCCGGACCCAGCACGAGCACGTGCTGTAGAAGCATCAACTGTACCTTTGAGTCCCACATGGGAGGGTGGGAGGGAGCTCCGCTGCCAGTCCAGGGTGGATGCGATTCGGAGACGAACGGGTTCCCATGCACCGAAGCAGCAGGCCACGCGTAACGCGGCTGCACCCCATAGACAGTGGGGGGAGCCCATGGGTCCTCCGGGGGTCTGCGCTGTGGGGGAGGTCCCTGCGGCGTGACCCCCAG